TCCATTACTGCTACTTCATAAAACTACTTTAATGCCCCAGGGATTATTGCTCCAACTTCAAATGAGTACTCAATATAGTATATAGACATACATCAGGTTATTTTGACTTTTCTCCTATGGTGGCACTAAAATTGTTCTTCTACAGATGTATTCTCCAGAGGCAACAGCTTCTTGGAATGCTTTGAGGTGTTTTCAGTGTTGGGTGTGCTGACTTGGTATTCCTGACATCCGCAATACATGTGGTAGCCCCTATGATCTCCCACTAGTTCAGAAGGCAGTGGCAGATGGTGCCACCCACAGATGACTGTTGCACCTCCCCTTGCAATTCTGTACCTCTTGTTTCCCCTTATACTAACGCCTATTCTTTCAATAGGGCCCACAACCAGCAGAATAGAAAGCTGCTATGTAAACTTCAGGTTACATGCTCAGGCAACAACAGCACAACTCAGAGGGGTATGCACTGCAGAATTTTCTAGAACACACACTCACTGGCACAGCAGAAAGTCACTGGGCATTTTCTCTCAAAGATTACTATGGTAAATCTGAGCATGTGGAAGACTCCAGTTGTCACTACCTACTGTTTATTTTCACTGGTGGAGCACTCTCCCAGGAGAGATCAGGGCCCTGTGGGATTTACTGCAGTTCCGCAGAGCCTGCAAAACTGAGTTGTTCCACCAGGCCTGGTTGAGGGCAGTCCAGGAGTCTCAATCACTAAGACCTAATGGATGGCCCCCCAGCTGTTCCCCTTCTCCAGTGGTAGAATTTCCCTTTCATATTGAGTTTAGGCCATCTTGATTCTATATAACTGATTATTATATTGTATTTGTATGTATTTTAATGGATTTTATTGATGATTGAATTTTTTTGACATTTGGAAATGTTAATTGTACATTTATAAACCGATGCTACCCACTCTCAGCTGGTCCTTGGGAGAGTGGGCTATAAATTATATAAATAAACAATACTGGTTTTCACATTCTTCGAATGAACAGCTATTGCTCCAAGCATGTTGGGATTGTCACATAGTAAAGCATGGTCTTCTCCGTCTTTAAGTCTTGTCCACCTATAAGTTCTCAGGGTGGTTTTTTGACATCTCCAGATGTTGGAAGTGGCTCATTATGTTACAAAAATATACCCTTGCTGTATCAGCAAGCAAGTTAAATCCACTACAAAGCATGGGTCTAGCAATGTGGACTACAGCCTTATTTACTAAGCCTCGGAGAGCTCGTTCATAGTTTTGGAGTTCAGTGTCAGCAATATACCAAAGGCGCCAAGCTCTTTATTTCTTTGCTCAGACTGCCTGTTGCTGCTCTAGCTGTCCTAAGCCAGTGACTAGCTATGAAGAGCCAGTGCAGAGTAGTGGTTATTAGAGTGTTGGACTAAGATCTGGGAGACTCATGTTTGAAACCCCATTCCTGTCATGGAAGCTTGGGCCAATCACACACTCTCAGTCTAACCTACTTCAGGGGACTCTGGAGCAAGTGATGCTCTGTCATCTTGGTGCTTGGGGGGGTCAACAGTGGGAGGGCTTCTAATATCCTGGCCCCACTGGTGGACCTCCTGATGGCACTAGTATTTCTGGCCACTGTGTGATACAGAGTGTTGGACTGGATGGGCCTTTGGCCTGATCCAACATTGGCATCTCTTATGTTCTTATGATTCTTGTGAGGACAAAACAGAGCAGAGAACGATGTAAGCTGCTTTGGGTCCCCATGAGGGAGAAAGCAGGGGTATAAATGAAGTAAATTGCAGTTAAATGGCTAAAAGTCAATACATTGAAAGTGAATCAGAACAAGACGGAGGTTACACTGGTCAGGTAGGTTAAGGTCTTGGCAGACATATGCTTTCCACATTTGATGGGGTTCATCTGACCCTCACTGACTCAATTAAGTCTCTAAGGGTTATACCTGACCCATTTTTACTGCTTGAGAATATAGCTGTGATAAATGCTTTCTACCATATTCATTTAGCCCAGAAGATGGCTCCCGACCTTGACCTAGCCCATTTGGTAACTGAAGCTAGATTGTTGTAATGCAGTCTATATGGATCTGCCCTTGAAGACAATATGGAAGCTCCAGCTGGTACAGGGCACTGTAGCTTGATTACTACCTACATTTAGGCAGTGTGCTTATTGTACCTATTCTGTAGTCACTCCATTGCTTATCTATTTGATTTATACCCTGCCCTCCCCACCAAAGCAGGCTCAGGGCGGTTAATATCAACAAATCCATGTAGAGCATGGTCTGTTGGAATGGCCTGCCCGATGAAGTCAGAAAGGCTCCCAGACTTCTATGTGTCAGTCAAGGAGTGTATAGAATGGATAAAACAGAAATATTCAGGAGGACTTTTTGATGGATTTTTTTTGCAGTTTTATTTTTTTGGATTATGATATCACTGAGCACTTTGTTTATATAGGAATTTTAAGATGTACTATGTTTTAAATTTATTATGTATATTATGTTTTTATAATGGCAAGGTTCTGCCTTGCCTCTGTAAGCCGCCCTGAGCCCATGGGGAGGGCGGGGTATAAATATGAAAAATAAAATAAATAAATAAATTTTACCTGATCTATGCATGGCTTATTGTATGTACTATCGTGTTTGTACTGCATAGTCCTCTAATCTTGTAATCCAGGTTTTTTTATTTTTATAACAGATTTTTATTTTTTTATGTTGTCGAAGGCTTTCACGGCTGGAGTTCATTAGTTGTAGATTTTCCAGGATGTATGGCCATAGTCTTGGCATTGTAGTACCTGACATTTTGCCAGCAGCTGTGACTGGCATCCTCAGAGGTATAACACAGAAAGATGGAGTACTCTCTGTGTCAAGGTAAGAAGGAAAATGGTAGGCAGGTAATTTATATCTACTCAGGAAGGTGGGGTAGTGCTGAGTCGTTACCTTGGAGGAGTTTCCCAGGCTGTGACATGCTAATGGAGAAGCTTTCCTGAGGAGGTTCTTTTGCAAATGGATTGGCTGTTGAAATTCTAATCTTATCTGTAGTGGTGTTGTAAGATGTAGAGCATTTTGTATTTTTCAGGACAGGAAACCATGCCCTATTTATTTTTAAACTTTCTTCTTTCCTGTTGAAATTGTGTTTATGTTTATGAATTTCAATGGCTTCCCTGTGTAATCTGACATGGTAATTGGATGTCCAGCATTTCAGTGTCTTGGAATAAGATACTGTGTCCTGTTTGAGTGAGGCTATGTTCAGCCACTGTTGATTTTTCAGGTTGGCCAAGTCTGCAGTGTCTTTCAAGTTCTTTCATTCTTGTCTGGATGCTACGATGTGTGGTCCCAATGTAAACCTGTCCACAACTGCAGGGTATGTGGTATACTCCTACAGAAATGGGGGGTTCTCTTCTGTCTTTTGTTGATCATAGCATCTGTTGTATTTTTCTGGTGGATCTGAATACTGTTGATAGATTGTGATTTTTCATAAGTTTTCCCATCTGATCAGTGATTCCTTTGATATATGGCAAAAACACTTTTCCTGTGGGAGACTGTTTTTCCTCAGTTGTTTTTGTTGTTGTTGTTCAGTCGCACAGTCGAGTCCGACTCTTCGCGACCCCATGGACAAGATCTCACCAAGCCCTCCTGTCTTCCGCCGTCCTCTGAAGTTTGCTCAATTTCATGTTGGTTGCATCTATGACACTGTCTAACCATCTCATCCTTTGCCGTCCCCATCTTCTTTGACCTTCAATCTTTCCCAGCATCAGGGTTTTCCCCAGTGAGTGCTCCCTTCTCATTTGGTGGCCAAAGTATTTGAGCTTCAGCTTCAGTATCTGGCCTTCCAGAGAACAGTCAGGGTTGATTTCTTTTAGGATTAACTGGTTCGAACTCCTTGCAGTCCAGGGGACTCTCAAGAGTCTTCTCCAGCACCATAATTCAAAATAATCTATTTTTCAGCACTCGGCCTTCCTTATAGTCCCACTCTCGCAGCCATACAGTACTACTGGGAATACCATTGCTTTGACCATCCGGACTTTTGTTGGCAGGGTGATGTCTCTACTTTTTATCATGCTTTTGAGGTTTCCTCCCAAGGAGCAGGCGTCTTTTAATTTCATGGCTGCTGTCACAGTCTGTGGAGATCTGGGATCCCAGGAACGTGAAGTCTGTCACTACTTCTTTTGTTTTGTTTGTTTTACCTTTGGTTTAATCGTTCTTCTGATTTCATTCTTGGAGTAGCCATTCGCTTGAAGTGAGTCATTTAGATGATTTAGTTCATCATTGAGAAAGTGCGGTTCACATATCCACCTTGCACAGTCTACTAATGTTTTGATTATGCCTCTTTTTTTGCTGAGGATGGTGATTGGAGTTTTTGTGTAAATAACAATCCGTGTGAGTTGGTTAGCTGCTGTAGATTTTCTGGGCTGTATGGCCATGGTCTTGGCATTGTAGGACCTGACATTTCGTCAGTAGCTGTGACTGGCATCCTCAGAAGTATAACAAAAAAGATGGAGTACTCTCTGTGTCAAGAAAATGGTAGGCAGGTAATTTATATCTACTCAGGAAGGTGGGATAGGGCTGCGTCATTATCTTGTAGTTCTCCAGGCTATGAACATGCTAATGGAGGAGCTTTCCTGAGGAGGTTCTTTTGTGTATGGATTGTTTCCTGAGGAGGTTCCTGTTTCCTGAGGAGGTTTCTTTGTACGTGGATTGGCTGTTGAAATTCTAATCTTATCTGTAGTGCTATTGTCAGATGTACAGCCTTTTGTGTTTTTCAGGACAGGAAACCATGCCCTTTTTATTTTTAAACTCCCTTCCTGTTGAAATTGTGTTTATGTTTATGAATTTCAATGGCTTCCCTGTGTAATCTGACATGGTAATTGGAAGTGTGAGTTGGTGTTTTTTTTAATTTGCAGCATTGTTACCCCGTGGTGTTTTTTTTTTTACATTGTGTGCATCATACTGTTTATTGTATTGTCGTCCTCTCATTCTGTAATCCACCTTGAGCCCCAGTGAGAAAGGTGGACTATAAATGAAGCATATAAGTACATAATTGTTCAGGCTGAAATCAAGCAGAAGGGTCAAGTGCAAAAAACATTTCTTCACCAGAACAGGCCTCTGCTCTTGTTCTCGCCGCAAACCACATTCTTGCGTGCAGTTTGTTCTGGCCAAAGAAATAAAGCCTGATCCAACTTCTAAAGAGAGAGTTTGAGTTTCTTAAAGATTTCATGCTCCTCAATGGAAAGATTAATATCAATTTGTCATACTTACTGGGAAAATGGACATTTGTCTCTTCTGTGCGGCGTGTTTTAAGTCGGTAAAAGCTTCTCTTCCAAGCCCTCTGTCAGGAGTGTTTAAAATACGAGCAAAGGCAAGATCATTCTTGGAGTTCACCAACAAGCTTAGATATGCAAACAGAATTTTCTTCACCACCAAAGGCAGCTACATTAAGAAAAAAATCCAGTTACTGTTTTTCTCATGAAAAATGGATTTAGCAATAAGACAGGGGAGGGAAAAAAACAAATATGCTATCCTAGGTTTCTGTTCTGTTAGAAGAAACTGGGTGAGGAAGAAAGTAAGCAAATATTGAGTGGCATGGATCTTTAATATGCCACTTTAATATTCTACTGTCCCATTCATGGGATCCTGCTTTGAAGATTATATGCTTATCTATTAATCAAATTTATTTTCATGCTTCCTCTAAGGAGCTTTGAGCTGTATACATGGTTCACCTAACCTCCATTTTATCCTCAATACAGTCCTGTGAGGTAGGATGGGTTCAGAGCCCAGGGTTGGCTTAGTGAACTTGATGATTAAAACCAGGATCTTCCACAAATGCTCTAACTGCTGCACAACATTGGCTTATTAAAGACTTGATCCAAATGCCAGAAGTCAAAGAAAATATTATTTGGTTATTAATTGGGCTTTGAATAACAACCAGCGTAGGTGACAGCCAGTTTGGTGTAGTGGTTAAGTGCACGGACTCTAATCTGGGAGAACCGGGTTTGATTCCCCACTCCTCCACTTGCAGCTGCTGGATGACCTTGGGCAAGCCATAGTTCTGGCACAGCTGTTCTCTCAAGGATAGTTCTGGAAAGAGCTCTCTCAGTCCCACCTACCTCACAGGGTGTCTGTTGTGAGGAGGAGAAGGAGTTTGTAAACCGCTCTGACACTCTGAGTGAAGGGCAGGGTATAAATCCAATCTCTTCTTTTATGAAGGTGATCAGTTTCAAGGAGGCTCTGGATACTGGACTGGCTTTTAAAGGGGGAGGAACGTCATCAGTGATTACTAAATCCATGTTATACAGTAGTTAGAGCATTTGTGGAAGATCCAGGTTTTAATCTTCATAAAGTCCTGAAGCTCGCTGGGCAACCCTGAGCTCTGAACTCATCCTACCTCACAGGGCTCTTCTGAGGATAAAAATGGAGGATGTGGGAACCATATATATGGCTCCAAATAAATATGATTAATATATAAGCATATCACCTTCAAAACAGGAGCCTGTGAACCAGACAGTAAGACCTCTTTATGACATGTGGCAGGAAGGCAATCACGAATAACTGGAAATGAAGAGAAGTACATCAGGTAAGAGAATGTGACTTGAAGATCGGAAGCCATGAGGTGATTCTGAACCTTTTGCCATTACTGCCCATATTTGTGGAAAGACCTTGAAAACCAAGATTTTATTTTCACTGGAAACAGTGATTCAGCTACCTGGTATAATGTGGGTTTTGTACCAAGCCATGCTTGCCTGTCAACTGCTACCAAATGAGGAAATTAGACTATTTTAAGTATAATACAGAGCAAAAATCTTACCTTTTTGTTATCCTGGCTTAATGTGTTAGTTGGTGTGGAGGGTGCAGAAAGAATGGAAGTATCGTCACTTGCTGAATCCGATGTTCCATTGATAAATTCTAGCAATTGTACCTTTAATAAGCAAGAAGAGATTTCAGTACTTAACTACACAGGCATTCTGCTACCCTCCTTTCAAGGAGGTGGGTTACAGGGGCTGCTCTCAGCCCAAGTACACAAGAGACAAACATGGCAGTGTGCAAGGATGTAGTGAGTGTCCTAAACAGATAAAACTATGTGGTCCAGTAGGGTTCACTGGTGGTCAGATCTCTATGGCACAACCATTGGATGCATTCAGATCAAGGCAATTTAAATCACCAAGAAAAAAACAAGTAAAGGTTGACATAAATCAAAATTTGCCATTATTATGCATCTGCTTTCTAATGTCATAGTTCTGTAGGGGCAACTCCCCACCCCCCATAAGTAAGGCTTGAGGAAACTGTTTCAATGTATCTGACAAAGTGTGCTCGCACATGAAAGCTTATACCATAAATAAAACTTCGTTGGTCTTAAAGGTGCCACTGGACTCAAACTTTGTTCTGCCGCTTCTGACCAACATGGCTACCCACTTGAATCTTTTTATACTTTATGAGCTACTTTGACAAGGTCTCTGGAGAAGTGGCATATACGTTCTCTAAATAAATAAATATATATATCCATAACAATCATTCAAAACATTGTCCTCATACAATCACAGAGAAGGCTATATATTTCTTACATATTTTGCATAGTATTACTGTTTTTAACATTGCTTATTTTTAATTTCCTTAATATTGCTGAATTGCAAATTACAAAAAAAGAAAAACTCAGACAAGTACCTCAAGGTGGGAGGAGTCAAAAGATTGCTACTACCTTCCTGCCTCAAAAAGGATGATGGGAAAGTCTCACAACACTCAAAATTATGCTCTTAGTACCAGATGAGACTCCTGCCAACCTAGCAGTTCGAAAGCAAGAAATTGCAAGTAGATAAATAGGTACCACTTCGGTGGGAAGGTAACAGCGTTCCGTACACCTCGGCATTTAGTCATGCCGGCCACATGACCACGGAAACGTCTTCGGACAGCGCTGGCTCTTCGGCTTTCAAACAGAGTTGAGCACCGCAACCCTAGAGTCGGATTCGACTGGCTTTCGAGCAAGGGAAACCTTTACCTTTACCAGATGAGAAGTGGCTTCTATCTAGTGTTCCTTTCTGCTTTTGTTTCCCTTCTTTGGGGAGAAAAACGGGTTTGTGTCTGTGTTATTTGATGTTCAGAATTATAGTACTGAGTCAACTGTAGGGACTGAGCAGCTATTAGATACAAATTAGGAGAAAGGGGGCACCTAGCTGATAAGGATGACACCAGTGGTGGCTTGCCAGTCTGTCCCTTGCCCCCAGTGGCAAGACCAGAAATATCTACATGAACTATTGTGCTGTATGAGGACTGGAAAAGATGTTTTCCCAGCAGTTCTTTCTTTTCATAGACCTGTGTCTAGGCTTACCATTTGCCTACCTATCGCAGGCAAACTTCCACTTCTACCCTCCATCACCCACACTCAAGTGATGGAGCAACGAGGGGGGGGGGTGTAGGGTTGCCAGCACCAGGTTGGGAATACCTGGAGATTTTGGGGGTGACACCTGAGGAAGCAGGGTTTGGGGAGTGGAGGGACTTCAGTGCGGTACAATGCCACAGCGTCCACCTTCCAAAGCAGCCATTCTCTCTACATGAACTGATCTCTGTTGCCTAGAGATCAGTTACAATCCCAGGAGATCACCAGCCACCACCTAGAGGTTGGTAACCCGGGGGGGGGGGGACTGTGTAGGTACTGTGACATCACTACCATGTGATCTCGCATCTTTACCATAGATATGGGGAAAATCCTATAACATCTTAGGGGGGACTGTGTCTGCAGCGCTCCCACTCCCCAGGCCTTGCCCCCCCCCCATTCCTGTAATTGCCAAGCATGGTCCTGGCAACCCTACTTATATCATATATATTCAGATACTATGTTTGCAAAAAAGTTGTTTCCTGTTGAACAAGGACAGTATGGCTGAACTTTACATTTTAAAAATCTAGTTAGATTTTTCTGCCCCAGAAAGAAAGAAAGAAATCTCCCTGACTACTCTAAGCTAACTACTACTTCTCAGATGAAGAAACTCAGTTGTAATAAGGGAATATTAGTGACCTCCCTGTTGTTGTTTAGTCGCACAGTCGAGTCCGACTCTTCGCGACCCCATGGACCAGCTCCCGCCAGGCCCTCCTGTCTTCCGCCGTCCTCTGAAGTTGGCTCAATTTCATGTTCGTTGCATCGATGACATTGTCTAACCATCTCATCCTTTGACCTCCCTACCAAGGCTAATTTGAGAACAAAGTCTGGCAGTATATAATCCTAAACAGAGCTGCACATCTCTAAATCCATTGCAGTCAATGTGCTTGGAAGGGTATATCTCTGTTTAGGATTGCTCTGTCAGTTTTTGAGTTATTTTGTTATGTTTTCATTGCTTTATTTTTTTGGTGTTAGATTATCCAGAAAGCACGATATGAATAAAAGAATACTGAGCGAGATGGATGAATGGTCTGACTCAGTAACAGAAGGCTCAAATGAAAGCATACCTTTTCATTGCATGCTCATAAAGGGACACCACAGCTTGTCTTGATGCTGCGCCAGATTAATATGGCTACTTCTCTGAAACTCTACTCTGAGTTACTTTGACATTAAGAGCATTATTTCCTTAGCTGTGCAGTGTCAGCCACACTAAAGTGGGGAAATGAGATCACTATATTTTATAAACCACATCATTTAAGCTTTTAAAAAGATATAGCAGGAAAATAAAGGTAGCAAATAAGGCTAATATGTGGCTTTGGCAGGGATTTTACGATTACTACATAGCTAACTTAGTTCTGTTGATGTCACTTTTTCAACTCCAGCCTTTTATTCCAGCTTTTCAAATAAACCCATAAAAGTTACTAGCCCACAAAAAAGCTTACTGTTACTAGCCCACATATCCATATATTCGTCATCTGCAGCACAACGATGGCCTTAAAGGAAAACAAGCTTATAAATAGATTTCTTGCTTAATTACCTAAAGGCATTTTTTTTTAATTGCCACCAACTAACACGGCTATTTACAATATTCAGTGGTAATACTTACAGGGGATATAGATTCGTTGCCTGGTTCTAGTGACCCGCATTTCTGATAGACATCTATAAGATCCATCATATTGCAGCGCTTCAAAAAACTGGAATAGGTACTTCTGATGTTGCTGTAATTTTCAGGAGCATCCACATTTTCATGCAATAGGCCCAGTTTGTCAGGCAGTAAGTGATTCCAGGCTAACAGCACTTCACTTAGTGATGCTTTAAAATCTCCATAATGCTGGCGGAGGAAATCATGTATTCAGGGGGGGAAAAGTTGCAGACTAATAAGATAACCAGTTTTACCAAGTTCTTTTTTTTTAAAAATTACCTGTAGACTTGTCCTATATTTGAGATTTTGCTCATGAAAAGCTTTACGCAGATATCCAGATTTTAATTACCCCTCAAACAAACACATTGTGGTAATTTGTGTCCCTAGACATGTTACATATGAAAATGATACTAGGAGAACATGGACGGGCCAGTGGCCAGTTTCTAAGCTACGTATGGAAATTCCCTTTTGAAGCAGTCCATGCTTGTAGCTGCCACCACTTCCTGTGGCAGTGAATTCCATGTGTTAATCACTCTTTGTGTGAAGAAGTACTTCCTTTTATCCGTTCTAACCCGACCGCTCAGCAATTTCATGGAGTGCCCGTGAGTTCTTGTATTGTGAGAAAGGGAGAAAAGTACCTCTTTTTCTACCTGCTCTTTCCCATGCATAATCTTATAAACCTCAATCATGTCACCCCTCAGTCGTCGTTTCTCCAAGCTAAAGAGCCCTAAGCGCTTTAACCTTTCCTCATAGGGAAAGTGTTCCAACCCTTTTATCATTCGAGTTGCCCTTTTCTGCACTTTTTCCAAAGCTATAATATCCTTTTTAAGGTGTGGTGACCAGAACTGCACACAGTATTCCAAATGAGGTCACACCATTGATTTATATAGGGGCATTATGATATTGGCTAATCTGTTTTCAATACCCTTCCTAATAATCCTCAGCATAGCATTGGCCTTCTTTATTGCAGTCACACACTGTCTCGACATTTTCAGTGAGTTATCTACTACAACTCCAAGATCTCTCTCTTGATCAGTCTCTGCCAGTTCAGACCCTATCAATGTGTATTTATATTTAGGATTTTTGGCTCCAATGTGCATCACCTTGCACTTGGCCACATTGAACCCCATTTGCCATGTTGACGCCCACGTGCCCATCCTTGACAGATCCCTTTGGAGTGCCTCAAAATCCTCACTGGTTTTCACCACCCTGAACAACTTTGTATCATCCGCAAATTTAGCCACTTCACTGCTTACTCCCATCTCCAAATCATTAATGAACAAGTTAAAAAGCAGTGGACCAAGTACTGATCCCTGCGGTACCCCACTGCTTACCCCCCTCCACTGAGAGAACTGCCCATTTATACTCACTCCCTGTTTTCTATTAATTAGCCAGTTTTTAATCCATAAAAGAACTTGTCCTTCTATCCCATGATTTTTGAGCTTACTTAGGAGCCTTTGATGAGGAACTTTATCAAAAGCTTTCTGGAAGTCAAGGTAAACAATATCTATTGGATCCCCCTTGTCCACATGTTTGTTCACCCCCTCAAAGAACACTAACAGGTTAGTGAGACAAGATCTTCCCTTACAGAACCCATGCTGAGTCTGCCTCAATCGCAGTGCAGGGTGGGTGGGCCACAACAGACCCCAAAGTCAGTCGCAGAAATAAGAATTCTTGGGAGTTGCTATGAGCATGGAACCTGCTGCTTTAAGAGCCCCTTTTATTCCCTTTGGCAGCACAGGAATAGAATAGCAGCAAAGACATCAGGAAGAAAAAAACCCAGGAAATTATCATTTTAGCCTATATGTTCGCTTCAGTTTTTCTTTCAATAATCTGGGGGTAAAAGTGACCCCAACAACCCTCAAAATATGCACTGCAGTGAGGGGAGAAGATGAAGGCGAGGGGAGAAGACGAACCACCACAGGGCAAATGACCTCATTAAGTTTCAGGAATAATTGTGGAAACAACTGAAATTGCTACTTAAATATGCCTTCTATGAAATCCCACATGTAAGACAACTACTCAAATAATTTTCTGTATCGGCTTAATACAAAGCCGCAATTCAAGCTAGATATATTTTAAAGTGCAATAGCCTTGAGGGTGGTTGTTCTCACCCACTCTCCACTTTGTTTTGAAACCAGTTCTTTGAAGTGTAACTACTAGTTAAGCTTCAGCATAATTCAATCAAGCCCTTTTCTCACAAGATGAAGAACTAAACTGTGTTTATACTGGTACTGTAAAAACATTTTAAATCCAAATAAAAACGCTGTCCAGATATCAGTTTTCATGATCAGGTGCCCACCGTGACAGCATATTATTCATAGAAATGATTGTGAGAGTTTGTGGTAGGACACAGAAAATGTTTTGCTAGGAATGTATGCCAGCTGGCTGATTCATAAAGGAAGTTCACAAAGTTAAATACTTTAATTCTCTGATAGACAACAGGAATATTATATTTCACAGGGACAAAATGAAAAAAGCAAGGTTTATAAACCTTAAGGCCCTGTGGTTTTTCCTAATATTATTTTGTAATAACCGTATTCTCTACAGAATCTTTTATTCTAAAATTTATTTTTATAGAACAAATTGGTAAAGCACCAGGATTTTAAAATCTCCTTAAAGACAGAAATATGTTGCACGATCTATTATGTTTTCATTCTGTCCATCCTCTAAAGAAGCTCAGGGTGAACTGCCTCTCCATTTCATTCTCACAACTCTGTCAGGCAGGTCAAAACTCTGTAATTGGTCCAAAGTCACCAGTGGAATTCTAAACAGTTACACCCTTTCTAAGCCCACTGATAACAATGCACTTAGAAGAGTGTAACTCTGCTTAGGAGTTCACTACCAGTCAGCTACTAGTCACTAGTACCAGGCTGGTGATGTGAATGGGTCACCCCAATTCCAATTTACCTACATGGGATCTCTAACAATAATGTCACTATAGAAATAATATGTAAGATAAACAAACAATGTTGTATCTCTTGCCAGAAAAACAACCAATTGCACCTCTTCAGGCAAGCATGTTCATCTGCATTCTTAACTTTTGAAAGTTCTGTCAATTGAGATGGTTTAATAAGAGGAGGAGCCAGGAACAAGGCAACAGATTGGCATTAATGAAGATTAAGATTCCCTACATTGCCTCCACAAATGCTAGGAGGCTGGGGGGGGGGGGGGGGGGGGGGCGACAGTGGAGTTTGGGAAAGATGTGCTGTCACTTCTGGGTAATGCTTTAGACTGCTTCCTTTAGTCCCTATGGTATTTACCATAGAGACTGGGCAAATCTCTACAGCATTGCTACGTGGAAGCCATTTTTCTCCCTGCTCCTTGGGGGCTGGTAATTCTCCACCCTAGACAAGTACATAGGAAGCCTAGTGAAGAAACATCAGCTCATGCCTTGCTTTGCCCATAAGGCAGAAGAATAGTTGGAAGAGAAACCCCAGACACATGCCCTTATATAATTTGATTCTTTCCAAGGAACCAGCACCTCCATAGGGAACAGAACAGCCCATCACTAATGCTCCATTACTTACTTTAGACTGACAACTAGGGCTGCCAGCCAGCCTCTTCACTCCAGCAGGGAGCGTAAAGGGGAGGAGGAGAAGGAAAAGCAGCATCACTTCCAGTTGTACCCAGAAGTGACATTCGCCAATCTCTACAGTAAAAAAACAGAGAAACATCTCTTCCAAGTACAACTGGAGGTGACATCGTTTCCCACCCGCCATTTTTGTTCCCACTGGAGTGAAGAGTGGCAGCCCGGAGATTACTGACCATGGCAAGCAATCTAATAAACCTACTGGCAACAAAAGCTGGCAGAAGGTAGCAATGCTGGAAGCTTCTGCGAAAATTTGTCGAGGTTTTGAAAAACATGTGTACGTTTTCAAACACGAACTTTATTTATTTGGGAATTTGGTGGTTTTTTTCCCCCTTTGGGTATTTCTGACCAGATTTCCTCCCCAGAAAATGGTGTTCTAGTTATATTGTCTTGCAACAACCTGTGGTTATAATTCCTTTCTGCTGTATGAAGCTCATAGATCTCTCTTTTCTTGTTTGAAATTTGCTGTTATTTGTTGTAAATTTTTATTTTATTGTAATTTACTGTTTTTAAATTATATGATATTGTTTTAACCTGGCACTTGTGCCCTGTAAGCCGCCCTGAGCCTTCGGGGTAGGGCGGGGTATAAATTTAAATATAAATAAAATAAATAAATAAATAAAAAGGGGAAAAGAAAAAAAGTGAAGGTAGGAGGAGACACTGTATAAAATAAATAAATCCTGAAGGAGGAAACAGGCCTACCTTCTGCCTGTGTTTAACAACCCTAGATGGGGAGTGGGGGAAAAAAGAAATATGGCTTGACCAACGTTTGTGCATGTAAAACAGCTATGTAACTAGATCCCAAGCCTCCAAGGTCCCAAACCTCAAAAGCACCTCAGCACTTGTATCAGCCCACTTGTAACCACTATCAGAAATCTCTGCTCGAATGCGATAGAGCAATAAAATGCAAAGCTGTCATTTGCTCATTGCCAGCCCAGATTAATTGGTTAACCCACATTTCACCTCACATCTAAGGTCATATTGCTATTATTATTTCTGGATTCAATGAAGCTTCCCTTTCACTTATTTGAGAGCCCAAGGCAATGCACAAAGCATTAAAAAAAAATTCAACGAAAGCCAATGAAAAACAACTCTGATCAGGATACAAGCTCCTTCAAAAACCAGCAGCACAACATGCTTGGAGATGTCGCTTCTCTGTCTTATAAGGTGAAGATGCAATGTGTGTCCAATTAAATATTTAATATGTTTCGTTTCTGAACATTTGCAAAACACATCAGGAGCTTTCTGTTGAACTGCTACTGTGCCTTATTGGCTCTGTGCTCAGTTGTTTAAAAAGTTACTAACAGTGCCATCCTAAGCAGAGTTACACCCTTCTAATCGAGTCCACTTCTGTGGATTTAGAAAGGTGTAACTCTACTCAGGATGGTGCTGTTAGTGCTGCTGATTTTAACTTCTCCACATTCCTGGCAAACAGGGAGGTTTTGTGGTTTCCTAAAATTCAGTCAAGCTGGGCAGTCCAAAGCTGCAGTACTACAACAGAGAGGATACTGTCCAGTTTGGTGTAGAGGTTAAGTGTGCAGACTCTTATCTGGGAGAACAGGATTTGATTTCCCACTCCTCCACTTGCAGCTGCTGGATGACCTTGGGAAAGCCATAGTTCTGTCAGAGCTGTTCTCTCAAGGACAGTTCTGGAAAGAGCTCCCTCAGCCCCACCTACCTCACAGGGTGTTGTGGGGAGGGGAAGGAGTTTGTAAGCCACTTTGAGACTCCGAGTGAAGGGTGGGGTATAAATCCAATCTCTTCTTCTTCTTCTTCTATACTATCACTGGATGAACCCCTTTGAGTGGTGGAACGCTGAACACTGCTCCAGAAAACTGAACCTTTTAGAACATAAAAAGAGCCCTTCTACGTCAGATCAATGGTCTATCTGGGCCGTTATCCTCTTTACCATAATGCCAGCTAGATGCCCCAGAAGGTCCACAAGCAGGGGCACAGAGGCCAAAGCTTCTTCTTGTTGCTCCCCTCCTCCCCAGTGACTAGTCTTCAGAGACCTAAGGATGCGGATGCTCCATTGAACCACCATGGCTAACAGTCTCGGGTGGGCCCGTCCACTACGAATTTGTCTAATCTAATCCCCCTTTAAACCACTTACCCCACTGGTCATCACAGGGGCACATTTGCCCTTAATTGCCTTTATTTGGAAAACGCCCAGTGGACCACTGCTATAGAGTAAGCCCCAAGGAACTAGCCTCAAATCAAGAAGCATAAAATTGGGCTCCAAGTCCCCAGCTGGTCAAAGAGGGCTGGCAATTGATAGTTTGGTGACGAGAAATCATTCCGTAAACCATCAGAGTAATTCTGATAAGGAAGTCTTGTGCTACCTTAAGACTAACAAACCCACTCTTATAAGGAAAAGTAAAGTAATTTTTGTCTTTCCTTCTAGATGCGGGGTGACCCAGACCTTACTTATCGAGATTCTGGAGAATATGCCGAGCGTGCCTCTTCTCCAGGAGGGGCAGGGCAAATCCACGCCGCATGCCATCGAGGCCAGAGGCCTGGGTAGCGGTAGTTTCATAATGGAACTATGACCTGCCACACTGAAACAGGAACACATTTGCCCATTCCAAGTGTCACTGGATGCTTTCAACATAGCTAGGGTTGGTGTTTTCACTAATCCATAGTCATGCTTAGCCCTGTGCATTTGAGGAGGGCATCTAGCATAACCAAGATACATTTTCTGGGTACACAAGGAAGCTGCCATACAGCCTTGCAGGTCTCGGTGCCTTCAATGTGGCCAAGAGACGACGCTGGATAGAATTTGGCACTATTACGAGAGGAGA